TATATATATATATATATTATAGTGAGGCACTTGCTTGTGGATGGTGTATATGTATTGCCTAGGTTTCTCAACTTCACATGATTAGGGTCTCCAGATATGGGGTAAACAACCTTTATAAGTTGTACCCAGTCTCTGAAGACCCCTTAGTGCAGGGGTGGCAAACTGCGGCCCTCCAGCTGTTGTGGAACTACAAGTCCCTTGAGGCTTTGCAAGATTCTCACAGCCACGGGCACGACTCGCAGAGGCAGATGCATCATGGGATTTGTAGTTTCACCACAGCTGGAGGGCCAGAGTTTGCCACCCCTGCCTTAGTGGATGTACCTGCCAGATGTGCAAAGATTGCTGCATAGGGCTTGTCCCTAACATCCTACGCATCTACCTAGAATTGAAGATGGCTACAGTAAGGAAGGGCTCTTTGTTACGAACATGTCTATGACTGTCGCACCCTCCCAGCTGGTGGTTGCTTGTTGCCACTGCACCTATCCCAATCTTCTTGTCAGCTGTGGGTTAATGAGCATAACCACACACCCTCATTGGGATTGGTCACCTCACATTGGGATTGGTTAGTGTCGCTTTATTTAAGCATCACAAGGCCAGTTGCATCCAGTTCCTTTCTTGTATCTTGCATCCTTTTTCTGTCTTGTATCTTGCTTTCTGTTTGTTTTGTATCTTGTCACCAGTACGACTGCTCTATACCTCGGGCCAGCCTGTAACCTATCAGAGTCAGTCCATTGTCTGGTTTATCTCACAGCTACAGCTCCCTTTTGTCAGTCTGACTCTCTCTTTGTCATTCCTGAAGTAGGGTAGTAGGGGACATCCTATTTCTTGTTCCACTATCACAAGGTGGATTGGTCAATTCATCATTCAAGTGTCTGACTTCAGGCGCAAGGTTTGCCCTTTCCTGGTTAAAGTGCACTCCATTAGATCAGTTACTGCTTCATGGGCTTTTCGGCATCAGAAATCTTTCTCAGATTTGCAAAGCTTCCATCTGGTCTTCTGTTTACACATTTGTTAAGTTTTACCAGGTGGATGTTTAGCACTTAGCTGATCCTGGATTCAGTCGTTAGACTTTTCAAGCAGTGCTGTAGACTCCCTTGAGCCACTCTTGTTTCTTCCTTGTGGGTCTGTTTGCCTTTTGTTTGCTGTTGTTTACCCCTCAATTGGACTGCTTTTGGACATCCCAGTGTTTCAGAATACTATCATGTGTAATGTATTACATACTACAGAAAACATGTAACATTATGCTATGTATTACATAACATTACACAACAGAGTTCCCTCTCCTGTTACTATGATCCACTCCTGTCATTGCTTGCTACTAAACTGAGGCATGCTGAGAATGGGAGGGGTGACACTGGGCTGTCTTTACAGCTTTGATTTGCCAGTTTCCAATTCTCCTGACGGTAAGAGTATAGCCCAGTGTGTCAGAATACTATCCTGTGCCCCATAATGTACTCTGAGAAAAGAAAATCCTATTCTTTTTTTCTCAGAATCATAGTAAGTTATGTTCTAGATCCTGGAGCCTGGAGGTTTTTGTAAAACTTTGGGTGGGAATTGCCCTCCATTTCTAGGTCCACATAATTACCTTGCAGTACCTTGTTTAAATCACTGGCTCCTAAGCATAGAGCATACAGTACATAGTTCATTACAATGGAACTAACTTTTAAGCGGGGGATCAGCAGACTCCACCTGTCCACATCTGGGCACCAAGGACTGAGCTGTCAAGGACTTGGTCCACTTACAAACTTGCGTTTTTAGGGCTTCCTGCTCACTTTTATTCAACAGAAATTCCTTTACAGAAAAGGTTGCCCCATCACACCGAACTCACACCGAACTCAATTTATTCAGCCACCTGGCTATATTTGGTCTGCTTAAACTGACAGTTTGTTTAAGCACAGATACCACTATTTTTCTGATGACAACCTGGTCAGAATGCCTGCCTCTAATGCAAAACACAGTCATGCGCTACTTGTGTGTCTGTCCACACCAGCTGTTCCCTTGAAACACGACTGTCAGTAGGGAGAAGCCCTGATTAAACTGAGTGACTAGGGCGGGAACACCCACCTGGCGATCAGCTTTACACCTGATCAGAGACTCACACTATTTGTGCCTACAGTGTGTGTGTGTGTATTATATTTAATTTTTCTTAATACTCGTTGATGGAAGAGGAGGTTGTTGTAACACTTTGTAGACAAGCAATAGATGTATTTTAGGAATCCATTTGTTCTTATTGATGTTATTTTGTATAGGAGTAATGTTACTTAATATCTATGTTAACTGCAAAGACAATGCATGTGCTTTAAGGGAAACTGTTTATATAATTACAGATGACTCCCAAGTCCAAGCGAAAGAGTATACACAGCAGAATGCTGCGTCCTGTGTCTAGAGCTTTTGGTAAGTTGATTTAGCAATTATTTTAATTATTCACTAGAATACTCTCTATGATAGCATTTGCTAGAAAGACAAAACTGCTTATTACCTAATATGCTGTTCAAAAACTGCACTTATAGTAGTGGTTATAGTTTTTGTTTTAAAACATGGCAGTTATTTTTTTTTCTCTTATAAGAAATGGAGTTTGATCTAGACAGAGCACTTGAGGATGTCCCAATACATATTGAGGACCCTCCATACCCCTCTGCGAAACACGAGAAGAGATCTTCCAGTGTCATTGCAGAACTGCCATCAGAAGAAGCAAAAAAACTTGAACACTTTACTAAATTACGACCAAAAAGGATGAAGAAGCAGCAACCCAGCAAATCTACTGTAAGTGGACCGCTATGTTTTATTGTAATAGAATTGTTGTTCACGAACAATTAAGTTGAACACTTACAGCTACAAGAGTCAACTTTCCTAGCATAAAGTTGTAAAGCATACTTCTTCTAACCCCCAGTACTGTGGATTTTACTAATCCTTAAATATTTTGAACTAAATTACAATCCCAATAGCCTGCACAGTGAACGGTTGGTTAGCACTGTTGCGTTTCAGTGCTTGAGGCCTGGGTTTTATTCTCTCCAAGACACTATTTTGTTTGTGTTTCCTCCTGCCATTGTATTTTTCTACATCCTATAATACATAGTGATCAGATTAAACATATTAACTTACTGTAAGAGCCAGGACTAATATTTGTGTAAAATATAAATATTTAACTCTCTTAAACTAACCTCTTAGGAAGATGCATCACAATGGTTTGCAGAGAACTAACAAGAAGTGTTGTGCAAAATTTTATCCACCTTGTATGTGTTCTTGGCTGGGACCTGGCTCACAACTTGTATGACTATCATGCTTCAGTTCTTCCCAGCTTGAGTGTCCAAATAGCTCTCAGACTTCATTGGTAGAGTGCAGAAATAATAACTCTTCCTGCTGACAGCACTTGAGTCCTAATACAAACAGGGACTAAAACTCTAGATTGGTGTAAATAAGAAGAAAGTGATGGCGTATGGCCAAACATATCTTATTTGCTAAATTGTTATAACCAAACTCACTGATGAATTATTGTTTATGCAGTTGGTCATGCATGTTCATATTGTAGATGGCACAGCCTTGTTTGAGACTCTCCTTTATGGGTTTTTTTCAGAATATGATATATGTTGGAATATGCAACTGAAACACATGAATTATGTAAAACTTGTTAAAGAATTGCAGCTCATGCACACTGTTATGTTCTGAATAAAAATGTACACTATAGCAATCAAATGTTTCCCCTTTGCGCACATACACTTGTGTCAGAGTGCTTTATCATGTGTCGTACTTCTCTTCTTGTTTCAGTTGTATCAGCATTCCTATAATGCCCCTGTACTATATTCTGTACATGTATAGCAATGTATGTCAAGGCATATTAGTGTTTGTCAATAGATGTACAGAGATTGTATCTGCAATTAAATATGATTTACATTTTTGGGGTCTGTAGACTGTAGGAAATTTCATTAAAGAGACCCTGTAAGGCCTCTGATAATTTAAAAGTGTAAGGTCTCTGCAATAGAAGCGTATACTTCTACATTTCTCTTACCTCCCCTCCTTTCCAGTGCTACAGCTTTCAAAAGTCTCTTTAGCATTTGCCACTACCAGGAGTGTGAGATAACTGTGTCCCCCACTCTGCTGATTACCTCCTCCAACAGCTACGTCTCTGCAGTACTTAGCAGTAATGTCGGGGATTGGAGGAAAGAAAGCATCTGACACTCCTATAAGTGTCCACTAGCCAAGAGGCATTTGGAGGCAACAGCTCTAGAAAGGAATGGAGATGTAGGAAAAATGGGCTACCAAAGAGGTGAGCATAGTCCTTCTATTACCAGCAGGGCGTGATTTCCCACAGGGCCACCAAGGCCCGGCCTCGTGGCGGCACGGAGTAGAGGGGCGGCAGGGGTCTGGAATTTATTTCGCCTGACGCTCGGGAAATGCAGTGCCGGGCGTGTCGTTTTTTTCTACATTTTGGCCCCGCTTCGGGCAAGCAGGGCTAAATGTAGAGTGTGGGAAGCTGCAGCTCACTCCGTGTGTACACTGAGATGGGAGAGCTGCACTAGCAGCCTTCCCATCTCAGCTGTCAAGAGTTCCAGCACAATTATGTGCTCAAACTCCTGTATTGGAGGTGACAGGTTCAATAAGAACCACCTGTCACCACCAAATGCTATCCGACAGTGGCTTGTGAGCTTCTATGTGATAAAGTAAAAGATAATAAGAAATAATTATTAAAATTAAAAAGTGATAATAAACTTATAAAAAAACTTATAAGAAAACAAAATCAAAATAAAAAAGTGATTATAAAAATTAAAACCAACCCTACCGCCCCTGCCATCTGTTTGCCATTCTCCAAACAGGTGGGGAGGGGGGAGCAATGAGGAACCTGGCCTTGGGGCAGCAAAGAGTTAATCCGCTCCTGATTACAGGGACAGTTGAAATACTTGTAGACCTGATAGGGTCTCTTAAATTTGCTAGAGTATCATTATAAAATCGTCCAAAAGCTTCTTGAATTATTCCACATTCTTAGCTGAGATCACTGCCTCCGGCAGCGAATTTCAGACCCTAACCGCTCTAACTGTGAAGAACCCCCTTCGCCCCATGTGCTGGAATTTCTTTTCCACCAATTTTAGGTCGTGGCCTCTAGTCTTTGTTACGGTGTTAATTGTAAAGATTTTGTTGCTAATGTTGCTTTCACCATTGAACAATTTGTACATGAAAATCATGTCCCCCCCTTAATCTCCTCACTTCCAACGTGAACATGTTTAAATTTAGTAGTCGTGTCTCATAGCTCTGGTCCTCCATTCCTCTAATTAGTTTGGTTGCCCTCCGCTGGACTCTTTCAAGCTCAAGGACGTCCTTTCTGTGGACTGGTGGCCAAAACTGGACCGCATACTCCAGATGAGGTCGAACCAGTGATCTATAAAGTGGCACAATTATGGACTTGTCTCTGCAATAAATCCCCTTCTTAATACAGGACAGGACTCTACTTGCTTTGTTTACAGGAGCCTGGCACTGCAAGCTATTAATCAATCTGTGGTCTACAATGACCCCCAAATCTTTTTCTATTTCTGACTTCCCTAGTGGCATACCCATGATTGTATAGCCCATTTGCTTATTTTTAATCCCAAAGTGCATTACTTTGCATGTATCGACGTTAAACCTCATCTGCCATATATTAGCCCACTCCCCTATTTTGTCCAGGTCCTCCTGTAATGTTAAACTGTCTAGGTCCGATTCTATAACTCTCCCGATTCTGGTATCATCAGCAAACACTGAAACATTGCTATTCACACCCTCCCCGATGTCGTTAATAAATAGGGTGAACAGCATGGGGCCTAGCACAGAACCCTGAGGCACACCGCTCATGACACCAGCCCATTCTAAAAAGTTGCCATTTATAGATACTCTTTGTACCTGTTCCTGTAGCCAGTACTCTATCCACGTACACACCATTCCATCTATGCCCATGGATCTCAGCTTGTATAACAAGCGTTTGTGTGGTACCGTATCAAAAGCCTTTGAGACAAATATATTATATGTGCTTGTAATACATTTTGCAGTGTCATAAAATTGCAAATGGACTTTGCTTTAGTTATTGGCTTCTTTTGCAGTGTAGCATATGTACAGAAAACAATCTGAACAAATTATTTAGTGTGTTTTGTGGGCAGGTAGAGAAAGACTAGCACTATGGAGCCAACACCCACTTACCTCAGTGGTTTGGTGCTGTTTGTTTCAGCAGTTCAGCACTGGTATGCAGGCAGCATTGCTAGCTGGAAGGCGGGTATCACAAATGTGGCTATGTTCCAAAGTTCAGGGGTCAATGTTTGTTGATGTAGTAGTGAGCCAGATTAGGCTAGCACCTGTAGAGTGGCTAGATCGTGTCCTCTGGTGCTGCTTGGCAGTAAGAACAAAGAGAGTTGAAGAAGGCTGATTGGCCATGAAATTCCCATTCCCAGGGCATGGTGCCTAGTTTTCCCTGTTGCATATTTAAATCTATTGTATAGTTTCAGAGACTGTCAGACAAACATAGTTATGCTTCAATGAAGTTGATTATCGCCAGAAAGGTTGCTTTGTTTGTCTTCCTCTGTGGATTGAATTGCTGTAAATTGTTGCCTGCAGCAGTATAGTGGAGCTCTCACTTACAACATGAGCATGTGTGTCTTACGTGCACTAGAGAAGGGGGGCTACTGATCAAAAGATCTTGTGTATGTGTTGGCAAGCCTGGCCGCATCTGTATTATACATTCCCTAGCTGCAAGAGCCAGATGATTCCAAAAAAGAACCACTTGTAATTCAGTTCATTAGATGTACTTTAATGCCGTCATTACCTGGTGGCCAGGTGCAAATTAGAAATTGAGGATTGCCTTGAAGCAAGCTTTGTTTGTCTGTGTTGTTACCATGATACTACATCATGTACGGCTCCTAGCTTTAAAAACAAAGTGGCATTTGGATGCAGATATGGAAGTTTCCTACACTTAATGGATGTATATCAGTTAGTTATGTTGTTTTAAAGCATTGAATAAATAGTTTAGTGAAGCTGATTTGTGAACCCTAAAACTAAGTAGTGCTGGCCATTGAAACCGTTAAGAATCTTATTCTTATTTTCTGAGTGCATTAAAAAAATGACAACAGAGCCTGCTGAGGAGAATTATCGCTACGCATATACTTTATACAGCACAATTTTCCTATTTTGTTTTAGTTTGCATTTTTCAGAAATGTATATGTTTGAGCTATTAACTTGCTTGGATTTCCATTATGGTGCTGAACAGGAATGCTTTAATTAAGTAGTGAAAATGCTTCTGTGCTTGCAACAAAATAAATACATGCTTCATACGCATTTCAAAATATGTATTGATCACATGCCATCTACATCCTCTATTTTAATTGTGATAGCTGATCTTGTAATATATAATTATTTATTTTCACTGCATTATTTATGATGGTGATCCCATTATTTATGATTGTGATGCTCTAGAAAACCAATAGTCTTAATGTTGGCTATGAAGGATTTCTTTCCATGACCATTAAGCTATGCCCTCTCCCTTTTTTTACTTTCCAGCAACCTGGAGGCGAAGTACCTGCAGATGGAGAACATAATGGGCTGATGCTTAGAGTAGATGAAGGTGTGGATGAATTTTTCACAAAGAAAGTGACACGACTGGAAACTAAGTGAGTATGGCAATGGATTGGCTTACATTGTACTGAGAATGGATAAGAATCAAATTATATGGGGAAATATTAGATTACAAAAGAAGTTCTTTTTTTAGTGGTTTAGGCAGGCAGAAGTCTCCTTATCCACTGCTGTTGTAGATCTATGGTTTTCTTAGTCTTTCATGACCCATCGCAGTTATTGCCTGACTGGTGCCAACACAATATTTTGCTTCTACACTCTTCTGTGTTTCGGAGTGAAGGGTTGTGACCATTTTAAGGGAGGTTTTTAGGTTGGATTTTAAAATGACTATTTTTATACACTAGGGGTGCACATTATTGTCTACTAAGTGTCAGAGCAAACCTGATAAGCAATTTGCTGGAGACTGCAATCAGCCCGTTTATGGTCACCCCAGAACAATGTTGGACCATCACTTTTAGCACTGTATTAAGTATCTTTCTAAAGAAATCCAAATTTCTAATTTGCATCTGTCATTCTTGTTTAAGAGAAGTAGTATGTTTTTTTTTTTAAATCCTTCAAACCATCATTACTTACCAAAACTTACAAATTAATTTTGTGGAAAGCGCTGTAGTGCTGTCACATGAAGCCTTCAATATGGTTGAAAATCACTTTGTGAAGGGACCTGGAAGTTTGGTTACATTCTACGGGAAATAATTTTTAAATTAAGAGTTAAAAACACCCATGAGACCTTGCCATTGTCACCCTTAGATAGAAAATTTGTGTGTATTATACCTCCAAAATGGATGTGATAGGTAAGAAGAACACGGTTTTGTGCATCATATTTAGACAAAGGACACACCCTTGCCACACCCTAGTCACGCATATCATTAAATTATGTTCGAGGGAAATCACGGGTACTGAGCTCCCCACTATTTTTCATTAGCTCCTGCAAAACACTATTGCAAAAATGTAAAGGTCAAATGAAAAGCTTAATGCTATTCTTATACAGGTCTATACATCAGACCTAAAAGATGGGCAGTTAAGTGAGTAAAGAAGGACTGGCTTTGGTTCCAAAAGAGAGACTGAAAAAGTGGGACAGTTGGGATCTGCATGTGCATATAATTTCACTTGTGCACTTAATATAAATACAAGACCAAGGAACTGTTTCCACTTAGAAACACCTGTCGGTTTAGAACTGACCTCAGATAAATTTAAAGGAGTTCAGAAGAAATGCAACCCTCACACCATCCTCATGAAGCTGAAGCTAAGCACTTGAGGTAAGATGTGGAAATGCGGCTGCGCAATGCATATTACAACCAACATGGAAGCTGTAAATTGTAGTTCTTCCTATAGTTAAAGAATATTCCAAAACGCTGCAAGGCAAATTCAGGTAGTTACACTGGTCACTTAAAATGATTAATGAATACATGTCAGCATTAATGTGTCTTTTATATCTACCCGGAGTTAGGCTTTAAATATAACATTTATTCATTGTTTTTTATTTTCAGGATTAAACTGCTTGTGCAACAGTTACGTAATAGTTTGCTAGCCTGATGGTAGCTCAGTGTTGTAAATTAATTGTAACAGTTGAAGAGTAGCATGGCTACCCCCCAATCTTGTTTACCTTCCTACTAGATCACTAAACACTGCTTTAAGTCAGGTTAAAATATTCCATGGCTTATTCTTCTATAAGTTAAAATGATTTTCTTTCTAAAATAAAATGCATTGCCACACAATTGTTATCCGATAGCCCATTTTAAGGCATTTACCAAAGTCAAATGCACAAATGTAAATAAATTCCTTCTAAAAAAAAAACATCTGCTGATGTTCCATGTTTGCCTTAATTAGCAGAAGATCAAAACTCAAACTAAAACACTCTTCAAGGGCCTGTTCACACGACGTCCGTTTTCTGTGCTGACCTGATCCGTACGCTCCTGCACTAAAAATGCATCCCAATGTATCCCTATGTGTTTTATGGGCTACAGTTCTCACGTGCGCAGTCCGTTCAGGTAAAAATACTGCATGTACACATTTTGTATGGTCAAGAAACAGACCGGAAACGCAAAACGCGTCAAAAACGCACTGCACTGCAGCTAACATACTGACAGCCCCACTCCAGCTAAAAAATAATAATAATTAACTGGAACGCATCAAAAACGCGGCAAACACGCACTGCATCAGTAGCTCCGCACCTGATCCGGACCTGATCAGGACCTGATATCATGTGTTGATACAGAAAAATTAGGGGGCATCAAAACTGTCTTTTTCTGACAGTTTTACACAAGCAAAACATAATGTCAGCTTTTAAAATTAAAAGGGCAAAACACTTAATTGATATTTTAATTTGTGGTTAGAGAACACTGTGAAAATCTGTTGGAAAGTATCTGCTTTCCCAGTGCTTGGGCAGTCAACAAGTGCTATTGAACACAATGGAAAATGTACTTATCAGCGCATGTTGAAAGTATATCTCAGATTATGTTGCTTGGTGACATGCAAGATGACTGGAAAGTCCAGCTGTGGAGTAAATGCTTCATAATTAATCAGACGTGGCTTGGTGATCTTGTTATATTTAGGTTAATAATGTAGCTAAATGTGCTGCTAAACGTTCCCTACCCTTCAGGTGGTCCAAGAATGCTGGGTATCCAAATTTTCTAGATATCTCTTAGATTTTTATGATAATTTTTTTTTCCTTTTAATTGTATTGTAAAATTAAAAATAGATACACATGGTCTAAATGACCTCAGAATACCAATGGAAGACCAAGCCCAATTAACACACTTTTAATGCTGTATCACATGGCATTTCCCTTTTTAAATCTGCAGCTAAAACACAAAATACATAACATCTTTTTTTTTCTTCTTTTGTCTGGAAGTCTCCACATCCCACCAGAATCCCAAGGGACTTGGCAGTCTTGCTGTACAAGATGATAATTTGTATTATCTGGCAGTTCAGACTTCTTATCTTTACCATTCTTCCCGATCTGAGGAAACCGATATTAAATGTTTTAAACTGCCCTGCAGGATTTCTCCCTGCCAGTCTTATATTTTTCATTTGCCATAGCCTTGGAATAATATCTGCCAGGTCACCTCTTGATCCCAAGATGTAATATGTAGGCTTTAAAAATGTGGGATCTCACTTTTAATCCTTTCATGACCAGAGGTAATTGATATCTAGATTCCCAGACTAAATTCAGCTATGCAATGGTTAGCAGTACTGCGAGAGTACATTGTAAAACAATTCCTGGAGTTCTTCTTTAAGGACTGTAAAGCTTTTATATTGTATATGTTATATATGTTTTAATAATTAACCAGCTCGTGTTTTTTATTAGTAAGCTGAAAAATAAAGAATTTTGTGTTTTTTTTTAAATGCAATTTTGGTATTTTTAACCATTTTATGAAAAATTGTAAAACTTTATATATATATATATATATATAATATTTAGACTCAATATTCCACAGTGACAGCTGCAGCTGTGCCTAATCCATCATAATGATCACATGATTGGGAACCATGCTGATTGATTTCATTGTTAGGCCTCATTCACACCAGACACTGCGTTCTGGCCAGAATGCACTTCATCGCACTGCGGCCAACTCACAATGTTGTAGCGGTCCATTGAAGTGGATGGCACAGTAGCCACGCCCTCCAGCCGCAATGCTATCTGCCACATGGGAACGCAATTATGCCTATGGTCCGGTCTGAATAAAATAGTGCTTGCAGCATTTTGTTCGGACTGGACCGCAGACCTAATGAGCCTTGCATTGCAGCCGGAGGGCGTGGCTACGGTGCCATTCACTTCAATGTATCGCCTCCTGCCGCACAGCATACTGGGCCGGCCGCAATGCGATGCAGTTCGTTTTTGCCACAATCCAGCTGGAACACACTGTGTCTGGTGTGAACTAGGCCTTAGTGTGAGACCAGTACTATTTGCCTGCAAAGCCACAGATTCCTAGTTCTAAATTGGAACATAGATTAATATTCTTTCAGCATGAGGCACCATGCCTTAGAGCAGGGGTCAGCAACCTTAAACACTCAAAGAGCCATTTGGACCCGTTTCCCACAGAAAAGAAAACACCGGGAGCCACAAAACCCTTTTGACATCTAAAATGAAGATAACACTGCATATATCGTTTTTTACCTTTATGCTATGTATAGCATGTATATAGGTATATGTAGTAAGAGGCCCCCATACTGCCCAGACCCCTCACATGTGTTCCGGCACTACCCCCCTGATGGCGCTGTTCTATCAAAGTTAGAATGTTAGGTTGGAATGTGTGACCGATGACGTGGTCACACCGCCAATAGGTCAATCATTCCAACGCTTTCTCAGCTGTTCCAGGGCAGATCGGCACCGCAAATCGTATGTGCAGGAGAACCGATCTGCCCTGGAACAGCTGTTCGGTCCTGAAATGTCACTTCTATCCGACTTTGTGAGTGGGGTGGAATGCGAGATCACACTCACAGAGTCGGATAGAAGTGACATTTAAGGACTGAACAGTTGTTCCAGGGCAGATCATTTTTCCTGCACATAAGATTTGTGATGCCGATCTGCCCTGGAACAGCTGAGAAAGTGTTGGAATGCTTGACCTATTGGCTGTCACACATTCCACCGCCAAAAAACGGGGCGGGATTACATTGAAATGTGTGACCACGTCACCGATCACACATTTCAACCTAGTCACAAACTTTGATAGAACAGCGGCCCTGGCTGTAATTATTTAATCAGTGAAATAGATTATAATAAGCAACATTACAGTGTAATGTTGCCCATTATAATCCACTTTTCTAATAAAATATAATAACAGCACACAGTGTGCAGTTGCACCCGTACCACTCACTCCCATATCCTCCCCCGCTCTTCATTGAGACTCACCTGCCAAGCCTCACAGCCAGCATCCAAGTCAGACGGTGAGCACTGCAAAGGGCCGAGCATGTGACACACACTTCTCTCCTGCCGCCTGTTACTAGGGAAGCGGCTGGGAGAGAAGCTGAGTCACATGACGCGCCCTCTTGCTGAGAAGCCCGTCAGCAGTGCGGGGCCCCGGGACGAAGAAAAAAATTGTATATTCCCTGGAGCTCCGATATACTATACAAATCCCTTGAAATGCTGTCTATAATTGGTCCTCTAAGGTCATGCAACCAGGGTTAGATAAGCAGAAAAATAGGGGAGTGTTCCCAGGGACCCTGCACTGCTGCATATTTCACCGGGGTGGGGGGGGTGCCCGGGCCTGGGCCTCACTGGGCCCCCCCACGGTCTCCGGCCCCAGCGGTAGTTCAGCCCCTGGACAGGGAGCTGCAGCAGAGGGATGAAAGAGCCATATGCGGCTCTTGAGCTGCGGGTTGCTGACCCCTTCCTAAGAGCAATAATACACAGATTGTGGTTGGGAATGGTACACCCTGTAAACGAAGAGTATCTATATATACCTTTCCAGCAATCTGTGTATTTAAACTCCTTCACTTTTCTGCTTCCTGCAGATATTAAGCACTTGTGGGTTTGTCAACTTCACACCACCACATGCTCATACAGCTGCCTAAGAGATCCTTTTCCTCTCTTAAGAGATTTTTTTTTACTGGAAAAAGTGATTTTGATAGAATGTGAAAGGTTTGGTATGATTTTTCCATGAGATGTAATGATGTACAATCCCTTATTGTGCACTTATGCTTAGTGAGCCCTCCTCCCCTCTGTGCGGATCATTTTTAAATGGGATATACTCATCTGCAATCCTTCCCATAAAATTCATGAATTTGGGAAGTGTGGTTTGTTTGTTTTTTGACACCCGCATTATTCTTTGGTTCTTCCAAAGATAGCATAAATATTTTGTATTTTGATCAAAATAAAGCTTTAACATGAAACTGACTCCAAAACGTTTTGTTTTGTATAGAGTAAGCGTTATGTCAGCTTTTTAATTTTTTTGCCATCTGTGTCCCGTTGGGGCGATTTCACTTCCTATCCAATAGCTGCAACAGGAATTGAGGGGAAATCCTTCCAAAGAGAGGTAAATCCTTAGTGGTCAGCAAGGTCACCAGAACTACTGTCCCCATTGGAAGATTTTCCATCTATTCCTGTTCTGATGATAACCCAAAATTTGGGATTTTCTTTCAATTTCAGTGATAGCAGTCACTAGGACAAATATGGGATGAATCTCTCTAACGGGTACATAAAAAGCTTTAAAAACCAGACGGGGCTTCTCATCCCTCTCCACTCTGTCTAAAAAAGTTTAGGCTTTGGTTGCACTTTAAATATATTTAGCTAAATCTGTTTTAGTTTGGTAGCTGTGTTACATACACCATATTGCCAAAGGTATTGGGACACCCCTCCAAATCATTGGATTCAGGTGTTCCAATCACCTCCATGGCCACATGTGTATAAAAACAAGCACCTAGGCATGCAGATTGCTTCTACAAACATTTGCGAAAGAATGGGTCGGTCTCAGGAGCTCAGTGAACTCAATCGTGGTACCGTGATAGGTTGCCACCTGGGCAATAAGTCCATTTGTGACATTTCCTTGAAACCACTGTCAACTGTTAGTGGTATTATAACAAAAGTGGAAGCAACTGGGAACAACAGCAACTCAGCCACAAAGTGGCACGCCATGTAAAATGACAGAGCGGGGTCAGAGGTTGCTGAAGCGCACAGTCCCCAGAAGTCGCCAACTGTCTGCAGAGTCAATAGCTACAGACCTCCAAACTTCATGTGGCCTTCAGATTGGCACAACAACAGTGCGTAGAGAGTTTCATGGAATGGGTTCCCATGTCTGAGCAGCTGAAGAGCAGTGAAGGGAACTCTTGAGGCATCAGCATACCAAGACATTTTGGACAATTTCATGCTCCCAACTTTGTGGGAACAGTTTGGGGATGGTCCCTTTCTCTTCCAACATGTCTGCGCACTAGTGCACAAATCAAGGTTCATGATGAGCGAGTTTGGGGTGGAGGAACTTGACTGGCCTGCACAGAGTCCTGACCTCAACCCGATAGAACACCTTTGGGATGTATTAGAGCGGAGACTGCGAGCCAGACCTTCTCGTCCAACATCAGTACCTGACCTCACAAATGCACTTCTGGAAGAATGGTCAAATATTCCCATAGACACACTCCTAAACCTTGTGGATGGCTTCCCAGAAGAGTTGAAGCTGTTATAGCGGCAAAGGGTGGGCCAACTCAATATTGAACCCTATGGACTAAGACTGGGATGTTCATGTGTGTGTAAAGGCAGCCATCCCAATACTTGGCAGGCGTCCGATTACTTTTGGCAATATAGTGTAGCTTCATAGTCTCTAAATAAAACCGTTCTCTGCCTTTGCATTTTGAAATGCTACCTCATGTATGTAGTACTATTATTGTTTTGCTTTGAGTTTTACAGTGATCATTATTTTGAGTTAAAAAGAGGTAATTAAATATTTGTTATTACATAAAAAGGAAAGATGTCAGGGTAAGTGTCTTGCATAAGGTAGAGCCCCCTATGAGAAAATACTTGCTTCCTGTCCTAGGTATAGGCAGTGATTGAAGCTGATCTGTTGCTCCTCTGGATCCTTAAAGTATGTATAATAATCTTTAATAAAGGGCTTTGAATGGGTGCTCACGAGTTGTAAGCGTGCTTCTTCCCGCAGCAGCCATCCTGTATCGAATCCACATAATAACATTTATGTTTGCCAGCAGATTAGAGATATAATTGCCTCCACAGACCATAATTATAGCAGAACAGCCTTTTAGAGATCCCTGGTTTTCCTGGCAGTGGCTCTGCATAATAAATTCAAAACTATGGCTCCACATCCTTTGAAGATTGAGGTGCTGTGATAGGGTACCATTGTACTTTTCTGTGATTGATGCATGCACTTGGAAAGCTGCATTGTTAGCTCAGGCAAGAAAAACTATAGGTATAGGAATTTTGCCCAGTTGGCATTTATTTTTACTATCGTATTAGGTAAAATTTAACTAAAGCAGAATTCTGGAAAAATGATTAACCCTACCCTACCCCTGCCAGTTTTTGTCTAGGGACTAAAATAAAAACAATATACTCACCTGATCCTCCGAGTCAGCTTGCTCTTGGACCGGTTTTTCCAGCCTCTCTCCCCCTCCACTGCAGCGGTCCCCAGAAGTCGCCAACTGTCTGCAGAGTCAATAGCTAAAAACCTCCAAACTTTGTGTGGCCTTCAGATTGGCACAACAACAGTACATGGAATGCTTCATGGAATGGGTTTCCATGGCCGAGCAGCTGCATCCAAGCCTTACATCACCAAGTGCAATGCAAAGCGTCGGATGCAGTGGTGTAAAGCACGCCGCCACTGGACTCTAGAGAAGTGGAGACGTGTTCTCTGGAGTCACGAATCACATTTCTCTGTCTGGCAATCCGATGGACGTGTCTGGGTTTGGCGGTTGCCAGGGGAACGGTACTTGCCTGACTGCATTGTGCCAAGTGTAAAGTTTGGTGGAGGGGGGATTATGGTGTGGGGTTGTTTTTCAGGGGTTGGGCTTGGCCCCTTAGTTCCAGTGAAGGGAACTCTTTAGGCATCAGCATACCAAGACATTTTGGACAATTTCCTGCTCCCAACTTTGTGGAAACAGTTTGGGGATGGCTCCTTCTTGTTCCAACATGACTGTGCACCAGTGCACAAAGCAAGGTCCATAGAGACGTGGATGAGCAAGTTTGGGGTGGAGGAAATTGACTGGCCTGCACAGAGTCCTGACCTCAACCCGATAGAACACCTTTGGGATGAATTAGAGCGGAGACGGCGAGCCAGGCCTTCTCGTCCAACATCAGTACCTGACCTCACAAATGTGCTTCTGGAAGTATGGTCAAACATTCCCATAGACACACTCCTAAACCGTGTGGGCAGCCTTCCCAGAAGAGTTGAAGCTATTATAGCGGCAAAGGGTGGGCCAACTAAATATTGAACTCTACGGACTAAGACTGGGATGCCATTAAAGTTCATGGGCATGTAAAGGCAGCCGTCCCAATACTTTTGGCAATATAGTGTATTTAACAGGCCAAAGGGGAGATACGAGAAATGCATTGTTGGGGTTTACATTCACTTTAAGGAACGGGCTGCACATTGCATATACCAAGTAGGTGTTAAATGGGATGCTTCAATATTCCCATCTCATGCAAATATCTAAAGGGTCAACCTGGTACATGGTCAACCTAAGTGACAAGGGTTTAGTCATTTTCTTGTTTATTTTTATGTGGCGTGGCAAGTGAATCTGTACATTTGTTATATATTGTGGTTTGGTTTTGGATAGGTAAGGCTTGATTATACCAACATTTTCTTATGAAGAACTATAGCCTTCCTATGAAAAGCTCGGCCACCAGTCAGCATTAGATTTACAATGGAAGTTTGAAGCCGATTGGCAGGGGTTCTTGATAAGAACACATTGGTACCGAAGGCCTTTAAAGTGCACCTGTACCTAGACTATGGACAGTAAACTGAGTAGATATTCTTTTAAAGCTCTTTTACTTCTTGTTAACAAGCCATCCCTGACCATTCCATGTACGTTTAATATGAAGTTAATTCTTCTCAAAGACCACAAGAAATACTCCAGTGTCCAATTTCTAACAGATGCTTGTTACTTACATTAGAGGGCTGAGAGCCTGCCAAGATTCTAGTGCAACAGAAAGTAATGGGGAAACGGTTATGATTTCAATAACTGTGTTGTGAACTATGAACATTGAATTTCTCCACAACAATTACAGATACAGAGATGAATGAGGTTTTGCTTAAAGTGTTTTTACTGCTTGTTTAGAATATGTAAATACTTTTGTGTTCATGGTTGGGGCACAGGTTCAATTTAAGTCTCAATGTTCGCATCTATCTTTTTATAGGAAACACTCTTTCAAAGGTTTAGAAGAAAGCAGTGAAGGTGATGATAAGAAGAGGAGGGAATCCAGGAAGAGCGGCTTTCTCAATTTAATTAAATCTAGGTCCAAGTCTGAGCGTCCACAAACTGTCATCGTGTCCGAAGAGCCTCTGTCTCCTAGACTCTCTATGAAAAGTCCTGCTCCTGACAGCAGCAAAAAGGATAAAGTAACTGACACCAATGGAGCAGTGAGTTCAAGTGCAAGTGCTGCAAGTAGTGGGCCCAGCAGCAGTACAGAGAGGTCAGAGGAGCTAAAAACTCCAGATTCTATAGAGGAAATTCTACAAATCGATGATCCCGCTAAACCTGAGCGGACTGATAGCAAAAGCAGTCCACAAAGTGGAAGGAGATATGGTGTGCAAGTGATGGGGAGCGGGTTGCTAGCAGAGATGAAGGCCAAGCAGGAAAAAAGAGCTGCACACAAGGTACGTGCTTAATGCATGTATATTTTTTGAGCACATAGTACAGTATTAAAAACAACAGAACACTTATAAGAGTTAAAATGTGTTTTTGTGTTATCATGCTATTAACGGCAAAGCTTAGCAATGATCATGCTTTTGCTTGACCAGCTAATAGCAATGTATATTGAATTATGGAGCTTCTGCAGATAATACAGAGCATAACTCCCCACACCGCCCCATCCTACTGCAATCTTTCAAAGCACATGCCCCCTGCTTAGGCTGTGTACATAGACATTTTTTTTCAATCACATACAGTATATGTATACAATTCTGAAAAACGGGCATTTTACTATTACACAGAAAAGAACAAAAATATTATGGACAGATTCAATGCATTAGTTTTTAAGCTACTTTTGTCAGCTTTATTGCATTATTAACATTAATGGAGTGTTAATCCAAGTAAGGTATAATTGAGGCTGTAGTCCAGCAGACGTAGAATATGCATACAGTATATGTACTCATACATCACAGTTTTGCAAAGCCCTTTCCTGATCATGTAGCCTCCGTTCAGGTTTTCACAACGATAGTGTACAGGAAACGATTTCCTGCCAAATTTGCCATTTCAGTAAACATCATTGTGACTGGATTTAGCCTAAATCTCAGACCCAGATTGTGGCTAGGTTCTTTCTCTGTGTGCATGTGCCCTCACCATCTGCTGCTTTATATGAGATACTGTGGTGCAGGCATTTGTGTCCCTTTTGATGTTGAAAGTCATTATATTTTCAATTCCTATTCTGGTCAAAGTGACAGGTTCTCTCGGTAGCCTATCTCTCTCACTGATAAATATCTTACACATAGTTATTGACCATCCCCCTGCCCCCACATGATAGTATTCAGGCTTGGCTAATGAGGCACTGAGCATTGTCCTCTAGGAGGAAGCGGTGAAGGTCTCAGGCTGTAGCAGGAAAAAGGTGAGTCAGAGAGCGCGTGGCAAAAGTATCAACATTAAGGTGTTTTGGAGGGGTGGGGGCAGGATTCCTCTCAACAGAACATGTCACTTTGCCTTGATTCTACAAAATGACAGGTTTACTTTAAAACCTGACAAGTGAAATAACATATCTGGATATACATACGTTGCCTGATGAATATCAGCTGTGTGTTTCCCTTGAAGAGGTTGATGTTTAAGACATCTGCTTGCACCCAGAGCTTTAATCGACCATTGCAGGATACCTATAGAGTATTTATCTGCTGCATTATCATCACATTGCTTTATTTTTATCTGAAAGATTTAGTCATTATCAAACGCCGCTATCACTGTCTCCCCCAGTACCCGCTGGGAAATAAATTCTTTTTCATTATCATGTTTTTTGGGTTGGGTGACGTGTCTGCCTGTCTGATAATAATTGTATTAAAAGCCTGCATGTACCAGTAAATTAGTCTCAAACTTAACTGCACCATTTAATAATTCATAGGGGATGCAGAAAGTAGGATGGCAGGGCTGCTGCTGAAATAACATCTGGTGCTGCAGGGCAATAAAATCTGTTTAGAGAGGCAGCAGTGAAGGTTTACAGTTCTCTGTCTCCATCTAGTGTTCTGTAAGGTGTAGCTTCTTGCTTAGGAATCGAGGAATGCACCACAAGTGATCACAGGACCACTGCAGGCTGCTCTCCTTTTAACATGATAACATAATCTACACTGAAAAAGACTTTTATTTGGGTCATTTCACTGGAATATTCAGAGACCTTTTAGCCGAGTTTGCAACATGTGAGTCATCATAGATCATATCGCGTTAGAGCAGTGGCAAGTTTTTGTCCTTGCGTGTACCAACCTGATTTCACAAAACAAACTCAACATTACAGGCTTAAGATAGACAAGAAATTATTATTTTTTCCTTATTTATTTAAATGAAGTAGTAGTAGACCTTAAATCCACACCAGGGGATAATATCTGCCTCTAGTGTGTATGCTCCCTCTGTGTTTTATCATTTCTCTTTGAGCCTTGGGTTTCCTTCCACAATTCAACAACTTACAATTTCTGAGCTGAGATTCTAGACTGTGCATCACACATTGCGTGTGCAATTTGTGGTAGGGACATTGGTTGGTTCTTTTCTCCAAACAAAATATGAATAAATCAACAGAAGTTAAACAATTATTTAACCTGCTGTTGATTGATGATCTTTTAGAAGCACTTTTATAAAGTAATAGTCCCCTAGGACCGCTGGGGTGCTTCATCAACACTGTCTGAATGTGATAGCAGGACCAGGTGTGAGCAATGATTATACCATAAACCCAGAATATGTTCAGTGCAGGGGGATGTCTGCAGGTGCTAAAGTCTTTTGCGTAGCTTCTAAAGTTCTAATGTGTTAATTTTTCACACCTGACCTTCTGTTCAGGGCCATTTTTCTTTACTGGTGTAGCATTCAAATGATATCATGCCAAACTAGCATTGGTCTTGTTGTATTGTTGCTTGTATTTATATTTGCCAGTAGCTGAGTAAGAAACCTGATAATATTATCACAGCATCACCCACTGCATTGTTCAGTATAAATTGCCCTAAGGATAGCAGAAAGTATATGAAATTAAAAACATACTTTTATAATGCAAGTTCATGTAATCTGTACATTTATGTTTTACAGAAGCTTGGCAGTGATACCAGCAAAAACACTGTAGATGTAGAAAAAGCAGAAGGAAGTGGAACAGGTTTGTTTGATTTGATTAATGTTAATATGCTCAGCTGTCAGTAACTGGTATTGGCCCCTATAAACGCCTGAGTGTTTTCCTGCACATTTCCCAAAGCACTGCAATGCTCAACATTAACCCCTTCATGACTGAGTTAGTTTTCAGTTTCTGTTCATAAATGACTGAGACACTTTTTAAATTTTTGCTGTGTGATTCTTCCACAGCAGTAATATACTTTCTTACTAAATGTACCCACACATATTATATATTGTTTTTTAGAGGACAGATAGGGCTATATAATTATATCACATATGTGTACCTAACCCCTCACTTAGTTTGAATAAAAAAAAAACATTAGGAAAAAAACTAGAAAAACACTTTTTTCACAAGTTTTGATTATTTTTTAGAATTTTTTAATATTAATTATAGTATA